ACGTTCGAAGCTACGAGACCTACGGAATAGGATAGCGGTCTTTGAAAAAGACGGGGCGGTCGAAATGTTGGCCCGAATAGATGTTCCACCAATAAACCTCGAGGCAGAAGTATAAAACGCAAATTAACGTTTCTGCTGGAAAAAAATTTCACCGTATTCTGAGCATACTGTTACCTCTTTACCTCCTTATGAATTGTCATTAAGTACGTAATTTATACAGCATAGAGGCGTTGAAAACGGAATAACAATTTTCTATATAACAATCATGACAATCTAGACATAATCCTAACAAAATTAGAGACCATTTCACTTGAGACCTGGCTTCTCGTATCTGCCTGGGTTCGGAATGCTGCGTTCCCATTCCTCGACATGATCGGCTGGGAACCTAGATAATAAAAGGATATTTGAAAGGAACATAATGCAAACACTACAAAGCCAACTCCTCCATAATAACCAACCCTTTTATTCTGTTAGCTTGTGCATTAATATTTCCTAGATAAGGACCCAAACTTATTATTTAATGCACATCAAGAACAAGGGCAGCTCGTCAAGGAGCATTAGTATTATAGAACGCCTCATCAAGTCAGACAGATTATCTGCTGCAGGAGTTGCACAGACGCCTCATTATGAACTATTAAGCAAGCGATGAAATTCACATTGTTCTACCATCAATCTAGAAGTCTCAACATGAAGTGAAAGTATGTGGCATTAGAAGCCCATCCTCGTCATCCCCAGCTTCCTGTTTCGCAAAACTAAGCTATTCGACCGACTTGCCTTTGTAAATATCGGCATGAAGAAGTGAACACAAAGCGGATAGCACCAGAAAATTTGTTATAAACAAATACCCTTTTTGACTAACGAAGAGTTTGAAAAAGGAGCAAATCAAGTATCTCACCTTAACAGTCTAGGGAACTTGGCACGCTCTTCTGGTGTGTACTCATCACTTCGTTTGGGAACTCGTTGAATTTGTTCTAGCTGAAAAAAAAACACATAGTCGAGAACAGTGCAGTTTCTAGCAGTTTCTCATTCGTAAAAATGAAAATTCTGAATTTCTGAGAATCGAGGTAAAAACGATGTAGATCTTCACCAATGGACTATTACTAGTATCAACCACTGTACTTAAAAAAATATTCAGTAAGTAAAGCAAGGGCAGGAAGAGGCAGAGCACCCAACTTAGATACTTTAAATGTGAAAGTTACAGTCGAGTTAGAGCTGCAAATTTAGGCAAGTTCTTTTCAAAAAATACAGCAGAGCCTCGATAGAACAATCGAAATCAGCTTTTCATTATGCTCAATGTTTTTGTGCTCTTACCTGATTGCCCAAATTCTCTCGCACAAAATCTGGCATCTCCATATCCGGAAACAGGTGAAGTCGTTGTATGTGGCGTTGGCGAAGCAAATTACGCCCTAGCCCCTAAACATCCGAGTAAAAGAACGATAATGGCAATGCTAACAAAAACGTACCTTATATACAGCTAGAAAAACAATTCGGCACGGATCATATTCGTGTATTTGGTACGCTGGTATTTCCACCTTCGATTTTGGGTACATCTTAATTACCAGTTTCATCGGTATGATAATTTTATATAGCAAAGTACAAGCCTCAAACGTTACTTATCACAAGAATGCTGGGTTGTGAACAAAACTTTCGCCCCAGGCGGGACTAGAACCCGCACCTCTCGCTTTCCGGGCAAGTGCGCTACCAGTTACGCTACCGGGGCACCATTTCATTCCAACTCAGCTTTTCATGGTATACGTACCATAGCTTTCAGCACTCACACGTATAACGTGTTGAGCCGGTTAGCCGATATCGGCAATGACCGCGAGGCTGAAAGCTTTAGCAATGATTTTTTGTTCAACAAATTTTCAACAAACAAAAACAAGTTACTTATCCCCTTTACCACAAGACAATTGTTGACACTGTTGTTGTTGACACTGTTTGCTCAGTTTGCAACAGAAATTGGATATCAGCCCCAAGGTGGGTGAATATCCAGTTTGAGACCTCTGTGCTGTACAGCGACGCAATCGCCGAGTCTGACCGAGGTCTGAGGGGGGAGGGAGGTACCCCTTGCTGTCCTATCCTAGTCTTAGAAAGCACTCCTTTGGGCTCAACACTATGGATAAGATAATGTAAGCAACTCATTTACGGTACACTTCCCGCCGAGGGAACGTATCGACAATATAGCCTCCAGGCTCACAAAAATTTGAACGACGGTATGCAAAGAGGGCAGTAGACGATCCTTCCAAAAAAATGGAGGAGAATCGAGCAACAAAGGGTAATGCGGCAGCGAGATTTCACCAAGAAAAGGGAAGAATGTTTCCACCGCACGTCGTGCAAATTTACCGCTCCCTGCCTTGCTAGGTCCACCAGCGCTGTCCCGTACACACGCGCAACAAAAGACTACTACAACGACTTTGAGTAATGCCACACTGACCTTATCGAAATGATACAAGGTATGCTTCCAGTCAAATCCGTGCATGGCCACCTGTCGGCAGTTCACCACCACTACGTGGTCGCCGCAATCCGTCTCTCTGTGCCATATGGGCTTGTGTTTCCCGGCCAGGTGCGTCGCAACATATTTTCCCAATTCATATGCATCCTGGAATGATGCATTTCCGACATATGAGAAAATGTTCAAGCGAGAAATAGGGAGTAGCAAGTAAAATATATTACTGTAGGTCGAAATAGGATGTAAAAAACCGCTAACGATATATTTTGCTTTGATGATTGCTTTTCATCGCAATTTGCGGTGCGAAATTCATCATAAGGGTGCTGAGTCAAGAACATAGCCTTCATTATTATATGATCTGTGATATATAAAAATGGAAGCTGAGTTTCAGTAGTACTCCGCAAGAATGGTGTGGACAGTAGCATTCATTCTCGAAAACGGAAAATACGAGTTCGATTAACGCCTGCAGAAAATTGTTTTACCAATAGCGTGGCATCTCTGTGATCATCAAAAATAGGAATCTTAGTATTCCATTGCAAAGGCCATACGTTGCTTTGACCTTTTCAGCCTTGAATTCTTTTCAGTGTGAAGAAGTTCTTAAAGGAATCCTTCGCGGAAAAATCATGATTCTATTTCAGCCATAAATCACTGGCTTGAGACTCATTATCCACGATAAGAATGAAAAGAACAGAAATATTGCTTTTGTTTTGGTAAAAAATTCGAAAAATCGAAAGGGCTGCTACGCGTTCAAAGTGCCCACGGACGTCTTTCACAAATGCTGGCGACGGGGATGCTTCCACTTGGTTCTTGGAGTGCCTTCACTAGAAACTCTTTCTGGCCTTCTGCTTTATTGCATTCACATCTTACACTTCTACTCCATCCTATTCTATCGATCGATTTGTCTCTACTCTCCGAAATCGCGCGCTTTAACCCGATTCTCTCATTGCGTCGCCTACGTAGCCGGCCAAAGGCCAACTTCTTTCCATGCCTCGCCTGGCTCCGCCCGAATTACCTTCGATGTCCATAACGTGTAGTTTTTGTACGTTTGTTTCTCTTCAGAAACCGAATCTTCATGCGTGAAACTTTGTGTGCTATTTCCAGTGATCACAACTGACACATTCATGTAAGAAAGAATGCAAGAATTTTCCGCGAAGGATTCCTTTAAGATTGGGCCAGGGGGGGTGCAATGGCAGGTGCAAAGCAAAATTTGGAACGGTAAGTTGGAACGCAGCGCGTGCTGTGCGATGTATGACGTACAATGGTACATTCTATTAACTTGACGCGAAATCACTACAGTACGCGCTGCGACTCGTCCGCTGACTCTGCCTTCTTGCCGCGCGACGGGCCTCCTGTCGGGTACCCATCGTCAGGGACGAAAGGATTGAGGCACTCTTCCTCATCTGCCTCGTCGAAGAAATAAGTAAAAAAAAACGTAAGTGCAGAGGCGCTCATCAGAAAAACTATTGAATTGCAAGCGTTCCCAAACCGCAGAAAAGACGCGGTCGACCAAACTAATGACACACACTCACACTTTCCGCAATGTGACCCGAATTCGAAGTTGGGATGAGCAAATGTTGACCCAGAGCTGTACTAGCTCGATATGCCACTCTGAGATAAGTTCAGAACCTGAGACGTACTTGATGATCGGCATCGACTATGTGCCACTGCCTCGCGAACTGTAACCATTGATTGACTCGGTCAAATCGAGACATTGCTCGACGTGCAGCCATCTGCAAAAGCCACCATTTTTGTAGATCCAAGTGTCAACATTACCCCTTGGAACCTATTTCAACTTACAGCACACTGACTCTGACGAACCACAAATAAGACAACCAATCAAGCAACAAACACAAAACAAAAGGGTAAATAGTTTTGTGTGTAAAATACACAATCAAACACGTTGATGAAAAATTAGAATTTATTTTTATTACATTCGCTTTAGTAAGTAGACGACGCGTATGCAACATGAAAGCATGTCAAACTTCACAAAAACAATCAGTGACAGAATAGGTCGCATCCAATAAAAAAACAACGAGTGGAAGTCGTCCAGGCAACTATAACAGCTAAACACCATGGTGCTCCCACCGTTTCAGCATTCTAGTCTAGTTCTTGCAAAACTGCTAACATCGTCGAGAATGAAAACACAACCTCAGCAAATGGTCGGTCAACTTAAAACAAGTGCTAAATGCATAGGTACAGCATAGGTTATCTACAATAGATCACATCCAACACAACAGTGATTTAGTGGCCCAGAAAAGACTCTCATTTACAAATATGAGATACCAACAAACCCTATAAACACCGTGATAAATACTGCACACATGGTAATTGACAGTCTTCAATAAAGAAAAATCGGTGAGTGTTATTTGCAAGACTAGATGAGAACGTTTACCAAAAAGGCATTTTATTACCAACAAGGTATTATTAGGAAAGTGAGGATCGAAAGGCAATCACAGAGGTATCATCAGCTTGACATTATGGGTCAAATGGCATTGTTTTACCAAGGCATTACCAAACAACATGATCTTGATATTCAGGTAAGACGCACAGCTTTTTCACCGTCTCGTACGCTAACATCACTAAACTCGAATAGAGTGCATTGCTGACAACTCGAGGCGCCAGTCCCTAAATGAAAAAATGCTTCATGGGATGACTAACAGCAACTTTAGCTTCTAACACATAATTCCAAAGCAAGTACTACGGGTGCGAAAAGGCCAGCCTTTGCACCATTGGACACTTTTGTAGCATTTCAGAGCCTCTAGTCCAGCTACGCATGAAAATTTTCCTCATTTCTTAATCGTGCGGGTGAAGAGGTTCAAAAATGACCATTTCAGAGGGAAGAATGAAGGAAAAAAAACCACGGGAGAAAAAGTGGAAGAAAGGCAGGATCGAAAAGGCCTCTTTCGCAGCCGGTGTTCAAAACTATCTCAGCAAAACAGCTTCCTGTAGCTTTTTTTCTTTAAGTTCAACACCGAAACCATCAACTGTCCTCTTGGAGAAGAGAAAACAAAGAAAAAACAAAAGCTGAAGCAGGCTAACAGTACCTTTGTGAAAACCTTCGATCCTTCGTACTTCCACAATCGCTTGATAGTATCAGTGTAATTGGTACGATGTACCTGAATCAAAAAGGGAACATTCTTCTCTAATTCTTCAACAAAATAACTCTCACTAACCTGCAATCGAATTCGAAGCATTTCTAATGGATTGGTAACACAGGCAGAGGCAATACCTCCTATGGATCCAGAAACAGCCTTAATCCGAAGCATAAAGAAAAAAAAATAAGCTGAAGTGAAATGGAACACCTACTTGGTCTAAGAAAAAATTTCGGTTGTCAACATCTGCGGACGTTTTTGGTTTCTCTCCTGTTTCTAATTCTGTAACCTGAAAAATTAAACTTCACACTCAAGAGGACGAGACAAGTGCAACTCGATTACTAAAGCTTACTGGTAGACATGAAAAAAGGTTACAAGGCGAAGAAGAAAAATAAGAGCGTTTAAAAACTAAGTCGTTTTCACTTCTATCTTCGAAAAAGAGAGAATGGATAAGAGCAAACCTTCATGCGTATCAGTCGGAAACCTCCTAATGCATGATAGTACGTAGACCAAAACACCATAGTCGATGGAATGTATAGCATCACGGCAGACAAGAAACCCCTTAATAGAATTGAGTTACTGGTTCAAAAGAGAAAATAAATTTAAAAGCGATCAAAAGAGGGGGAAAAACTATTGGCACGTAAGCCTACTGAGATCACTTTCATTAACACTATTGATAACACGACGGTTTTTTTTTTCGATTGGGCCGCGTGCGACGCTTTTTTTCTTTTCGAGAAAATGTATATCAATGCCACAACGTAGCTAAGAATGAAGGGCCATAACTAAATGCAGGAAGTGTTGAAACTTTATTTGTCTCAGAACTTGGCAGAAAGCCCTAGAATGAGAAGTCTTTTTGTTTGAGACAAAAGATTTACGAAGAAGGCTCGAAAAATGCGATTTTTTCACTGCAAAATCGGTATATTGAAATGTAAACGAGGTTTTGCCAAATTGATGTCATTACGATGGCTAACTACAACCAAAGACCCAGCTTTACACATCCGAGACTTATCAGATTTACTTAAGAGATGCACTTCCAAGTACCTCTTTGATAAAACGCACAGTGTGAGAAACAAACGCCGACCATAACCACAATGAATTTGCAGTATCTTCTTGACTAATGTGTTTTTGCCGAAATTTGCAAAAAAATCTATGCATTCCCTAATCTTGTGCGTCACACGAGTGACATTGTCACCAAAGGGTTAAGTGCGGTACAAAATTATCACTTTGTGATGAAAATTTCCCAAAGTCGTGAATACTTCCATCAAATATTGATACGACCTCACGCAAACGCTTCATGAGAGGATCATGAGAAATTAATAACACACCGATAAAATCCGGCCAAGCCATCCACTTTATACACGGCGCGAACGACACGTAATCCAAGCGTAAGTCTCCTTTCCAAGCCGTCGTTCCTTAATGTAGTTGCAACAGCAGAAGCTTTCCTACTACCTAAATATTATCATTTCAGAAAAAATCCAATTTCAAATGCAATCTTCAATTCAAGGTTAAATCAATTTCGAAAAAATTCAAGCTCAATGTGTAGACAATGACACATGAAGCACATGGAAACTAATTCGAAAATAAATCAAAAGAGATTCAAACAAGAGAAGTGACCAGATATCAATTATTAATTTAGCTACGCACACTAACATGTAGGTAACATAGGGCTCCAGCAGTGATGAAAAGAGCAAGTTGATTTTTTGGTCCAACCAAACGGTGCCTGCCCGCCCTTTGAAAGCATGTCACATTACTACTCGGCATTCGCTGGTACCTATCCAGTTTTTTCCCATCTGTGGCAGTTTTTGAATCACTTTGTGACATTTAGGTATTACCTCAACCCTCTCGGTGCACGCACTGTCCATCAATAACATTATCTACCCTCCCTTGCTAGCCTCCTTCCGATTTCCCGTCTCAGGACTTCCTCGGAAGCAAACTATTCGGTTTCGTGGTTAATTCCGCCCACACAGGACACAGTACCGTTCCCCCCCCCCTAAGGGCTGGCCTCCATTCCATCCGAGTAAACGCGGTACACCGCAGGCATTGCCTTCCAAAACCATTTTTTTCTGTCCTGTAGGCTTTATTATTATTATAGTATCCAGTTGTATATTTAGCGGCGCCCTAATTCGACATGGCAACTCGGTGGGCACTTCACCCATTTTTCCGATCTTGAGCTCTTCTGGAATAGAAGTCAATTTTTTGCCTCAAAAAATGCGTGATATACTTCATGGTTCTGCCTACTCCATCAATCCTTTACCCGGCTTCTCCAGGTCGATCTTCAAGTACTGCCGACTTTCATGATAGACAAAGCGGCTTATAGTAATCCTACTATATATAATCGGCTAAGCGGTTGTGTGTGTGTGTGTCTGACCGGAAATTCATAACTTCACCCCCTTTGGACCCAGAGCGCTCAAACTTCTAGGATATATAGGGGGCCGGAGGTGAACACTGATGACGGGTGGCGGGAAGTGATAACTACTGATAGGAGCTGATAACGGACGTCGAAATGTTGATGTCACCAATTTCGTTGCACCGTTCGCGTTGACGGTGGAGAGTTTGCACTCATGTATGATATGTGGGGTGAGGCGGGGACCAAGAAGTTGAGTGAAACGAATGTGGTAGCAACTGATAAGAACTGATAAGGGGCGTCAAAGTGTGGATACCACCAGTTTCGTTGCGGCCCTTGCGGTTACATTGGAACCTTGGCTCTCACATGTGGTATAGGGGATGGGACGGGAACACGGATAGCGGATGATTCAGAAGTGATAACAAGCGATAACGGTTGATAAGGAAGTTAGGATTTTGAGTACTGCTAATTTCGTTGCAGCCTTCGTGGTGACAGTAAATATTAGCTCCTACACGTTGCTGGAGGTTGGGACCGGGACACCGATTGCGAACAGTATGAACTGATAAGAAATGACAAGGAATGATAAGAGCGTTTGAATGCAGGTCTCTACAACTTCGTTGCAATTATCACTGGCAAGCGATCAAGGTGGCGAGGGTTGAATGTAGGTGACAGAAAGTGGTATGAGCGGCAACTGTACTGATAAAAGTAGCGACAGTTGAGCGTGCACTCAATTGAACTAAACCAGGTCCCTAGCACGTGAATATGTTCCATTCCTACCCTTTCATCTAAAGAAGCAAAGAAAGTTGAGCTGCTCAACTTGGACCAATAGCGAATTTCCATTATATTTCCGATTTCCATCATAGCTCGGTTAGATGCTGATTGGTTATATTTCACTTACACACCGATTCTTCAATTGTGGAATTCTATAAACCGCTAAATCATCCGAGCTCGATATCAATGCTAAATGTTTACGAAGTCATGATAAGTACATTTTCATTCCGCATGCTACTGCGCGCATTACGCGACAATCTTCAGCGAAATTGGACACCTTTGAAATTCATGTGACACATCTTCCAAACATCTTACTGTTAGTTTCTCAGCCACGTGACCTAATATTCAGCAAGTTGTCCAGTTTCACTAAAGCCTACCATGTGATGCGCGCGGATGCGTGCGGAGCTAAACTGGTAGAATAGAAAGCCCACATACCTCCAAACGCTTCTGGATTATTATGCACCATCATATGTTGAGCAATGATATCTGTCGGAACAAACACCAGTTGAGCACATGGTGAGGCTATTCCTCCTAAAATTCGGAAAACAGTATATCCTTACAGAGTTGGATATCAGTGCAAAACAAGTTCAACTATACCGACCTGCTAAGGCTGATACTAGTGAAGGATTCGTTATACCAACGTGAACCTGTATGAGGTCCCGTACTTTTTCATAAGTTGATGAGTACAGGAAGGAAGCCGATATCTGCGGTAGTGTCATCCAAAAGCCCTAAACAGAAAGAAGGTTGATGTTTGTGGAAATGTCATAGAGAAGCCCTGAGTAAGTGTTTGCTTGCAAGACTGAATTTATTTTTACGATAGAGAGACAAGTAATCAAAAAGATTCAAGCATCGAAAATGTCACACTATTAAATAAATGGCAAATTTTTTGCAACTTTCAAGTAAAAACTAAAAAATGGAAAACACACTCTATATAAAGCTCCGAAGCCTTCCACTCTGACGATTTCAGAGAAGGCATGCCGCATACCTCGATACATATTGTTCTGTCTCTGTAGTTGTAGGCGACTTTTTACAACCGACCTAAAACTGAGTGATGTGGAAACGCACCACAAATCGAGAAAAAAATATGCGAACTGTTTGAAAAAGAGAGCCAAAGGAAGTATGCTAGTGATAGCGACTTATTAGAGTTCCTTAAATTTCAATCGCAATGATGAACTGCATGCTCCTTGTTTCCCATAGGAGAGATGTGAGAATTTCAAGTTTTACTTGTTATCCCAGTTCCCCTTTACCTCAAAGCGAAGGACAACATTCAATCAACTATATGAATCCTTCGAGACAGCGAAAAACAAGCACAGCACGCTTTTTAAGAAGGAATGGATATAAGACAGGTGCTGCTCTCATAATGAACACTGAGGTTAAAACGAATGTTATCTGTAAAATACGGAAACTTGAAAAAAAAAACCTACATTGGGTAGAGGAAACATCTTATCGACCACGAACTAGCAAGTGCGAGCGGATAGAAACGCCAAAGATTAAGATGCTCCCATTGGATCACCAGCAGTCGATCCTAAAATTTATTTCATGAAATGACCAAGAATCGGGGACGTATTTGGCTGACTACATTTCATGCATGTGCAAAAAAGTTTTGATGAACAAAACTCACCCTAGATGTTAAATCGAACACTTCAGACTCCTCCGATGACATCCCTCAGTTCCCCTACCGTATATCGTACAAGTAGACCGAAACAGTGTGCTGAGGGTAGGAAGCCAAATAAGGCAGCTGTTGCATTGGCAGCGTTGTAGCGCTGCTCCAGTGCTCCGCGCTATTCGCAGATTCTGAAGCAACTTTAAAGAGCGTATCAGTTGAAAGACTAATCAGGAACCCTCGCAAGAAAAACCTACGAAGCGTGCACTTGCAACGGGAATACTATCCCATGGTGCGTTACGGAATGAGCCAATTGTTTCAAAGCCTCGAACCACCAACGTGCACTCAAAAGGAGCAAGACCTTCACCCCCAGTGAAGGGCTCGACTGCTCAAATACGCCCCAAAAATTCCCATCATAGTCTCGGACGCTGCGACGCCTCTGCTCCATAGTCATGTGCAACACGTAAATTAATAATGCTCTGCAACCATCCCCTCTGCGTCTTGTTCTACCTCACCTCTGGTCAGCATGACAGTTACTTCGCTTTCCGCAGAGACGGTCCCATTTTTACAGCACAAGTAGCATTTAATGGAGATGACTCATGAAAATCAATGTCGTATCCACTCTGTTGCTAAGGGAGGGAAGCGTATTACAATCTGCGCTAGAAGCCAGTCGCCCTAGCATGTTTGTACGCCTGTGCCCACCCGATCCTCACAGAGAGGGTATGACGGGTGGGAAAAATGTTCTTTGCCATATCTGTGCAAGTATTTTAACGAGGATCACAATTCATCACAAGAAAGTACGGTTTCGAGAAATTATTTATTGCTATAGATCAAAAATCGAATGTAGTAGGGTGAGCTAAGCTCCGAGTACTTCTGAGATCGTACAATCAGGAAAGATACAGCAATACGTAGTTCTATTTACAGCACAAACGAATACAATGCCTAGGACAAAATTGCTACAACTGCTGTGAGCCCTGACTAGCAAGTTAGTATTAATTTATTAATATATGAAGACTAGGAATTAGAATACATTATTATTGAACTATGACTTTTCGTTCTGAACTACCATTTTACTCTGTGTTGATATTCGGGAAGAACAGAGAAACGTTTCATGACTTCGTAGCCCACCATGACTATACACGAGTATACTGAATTGCTGATTAGTCTGGAAAGAATACTTTGAATTATACAGCAACTGCAACAAAAAAACAAGGCTATTATCCAATAAAATATTTGTTTGAGTGCATCCTATTCCAGTTTGTCCTATGGTCGATAACAAAAAGATAATTGAATTAGCCGAAAAGAATCGATGAATGTAAAGGAGGTTGAAGTTCAAAATCTCATGGAAAAAAGCTCCAGCAGAAATGTTAACCGGCGGGCGATTAGAAAGCCTGGCAAGATAACAACGAAAGAAGTGGAAGATATAACGATACAAAGCAATATGACAAAAAATCCCTATATAACAGTAAATTTGGCGAACAAGAACGCAGTAAAGTGGCACAAAAGAAAAAGTACACCAGAGTTGCAGATGTTTTTTTTTTTGAAAATATGCAAATGCGCAAAGTAGGTCTACCTGCTAGCCTTGAGCATACCAAAATATATAAGAGCGCAAATGGATGATGCCATGGCATGATTATCATAAAGATACTAACCTGGGAGCCAAGCCCTTGGTGAAAATGTGTTGCTTCTCGTTCCTCATTATTCTAGCCAACGTCTCTGCATAATCGCTTCGATGCACCTGCAAAGATGAAAGTAATCGAGACGACCGCAACACTGCTAATGGGCCGCGACCATCCTTCACGATCTGGGATAATAGAGGTTAGTATATTCACTGAAAGGATTCGCACTGATTAGAAGAGGAGATTAGGTGCCGTCAGTGAAATCAACCAATACGTTGCCAACCCTTTCAACGCTTTATCTCAAACTCCAAATAATACCATGATCTCCCAATATGCTTAATATCTCACATCCTCGTAATTTACTGATCTCCACCGATTTAAATCAAACCCACTTTAGCTTTTGGTTTCCTCATCTCTTGGCCCCTAAACTCTGTCAATACTTATCTTTCTCATTATCACCTAATCCTCCGAAGTGGTATGCCCGCAACATTAAAATAAACCGCGAAAGCGAAACTCAGGAAAACTTACTTGAAGTCTGATACGGAACATTTCCATTGGGTTTGTACAAATGGTCGAACAGGCTCCTCCGACCGTTGCAGCAACTGCTTGATCCAGAAGCAGAGGACCCTGACCTTCCTTAGCTGATTGACGCCGCAACTTAAAGTTTCCTATTAAGAAATAGACAAGAAGGGAGAATCGTGTAGAAGAAAAGGAATAAAAAAGAAAACTCGTATCGATGAATGTCATACCCAGTTAAAGAAATCCTGACACCAATAATATACAGGCCAGAAAACGAGACATGATGGCACGTACACGAGACTTGAGGCCCAGAATCCCCTATGAATCGACAATGAGTGAATAATTACCAAAGAACAGAAGAAAGAGGAATGACATACCGATAGAAACCTTTTCAATCCGTCAGTTTTATATATTGTTGATATACGTGATCTAGTTTAGCGAGAGGTTCTGATCATTACGTAAGTACTCTATTACAGCTTTGTCATTTCCCGAGATGAAATGATCGGCCTTGTAGTATACCATCATAAATTGTGATATGATATCAGTGGGTACGAAGATCGTCTACAAAAGGATTTCTAGAGTCAAACATCTCACCAACCTGGGATGCAAAACTGGCCGCCCCACCGGATATACTAGAAATGCCAGCCACTGATTTCATACCAAAATTTTGTTGCAGCACAGCTCGCAGCTTCTCGTAGACCGTCGTGTATATGAATGACGTACCTATCTGTGGCACAGTCACCCAGAAACCCTGAAAAATAATTCGGTCTGCAAGGTTCTTAGGAATTTAGTAAGCCTGAGCCTCGCCAACTAGGGGCAGCGTTTCCCAATGTTCATCAACATAGTTCCCGGAGAAAATGAACGTCCGGTGGAAGGCAAGAATGTATTGGGAACAGGAAGTGAGAAAAGTGAATTTCTTTGATTTCTGATGTAGTGGGAGAAAATTACAGATCGTTTAAAAGCGAACTGCAAAAATAACCGGTGACCTGAAAGGACACCTCTTAGATTGACAAGTTAGCGGCAGGCTATTTCAGTGCAGTAGAATCTATTGACTGATGGGTCATAGTGATCAATGTAGAAAAATGTGTTGTAGTATCGATTACTACGGCGAATTACATCTATAGAAGTAATCGATACACGATACAATCCATAACTGCAGTCTACAGTCACTGCTTTCAGCTAATGTGGCTGATTCGGTTGTGAACTCAATTTATTACGCCTGGTGATATTAAAGATCCCATAACGAGTAATTCTTGTCCCACCTCAAATGCAGTTGAGAGGAAAAGAAAAGAGGAAAAAAGGAATGAAGAGGAAGAATAAAACTGACCCGATATAGGCCTCGAACTCCTTCTGTTCTCGAAATGTCGACGAACGCATTCCACGTGCTTTTGTACACAGTATGTTGTTTCTGCAGTTGTAGACGACTTCTCAATACTGCCAAAGGGTAAAGAAACATACGGACTGTCCATGTACTGCAATTGTAACAATGTTCTCAACACTAGGAAGAAAAACCAAAGACTTTCTACCTAGTAAGTGCAGCCGGATAGAATATTGACAAATCCATGTGATCCCACTCGATCACTTGCAGCATACCGTTATTACTTCTTCCAGCCACGATCTGTAACTCGTCATCTCCAGGTGGTAATGGAAATCGAAGTGGCGGCTTCTCAATCAAATGGCCTTGGGGTAACGGCTCGAACGGAAGCGACATCGCTATCGATGAGTTGAAGCGTTGCCGACTGAACACACAGAAATCATCATCGAACAGTAACCACTGTGGCGAGTACACAAAAACTCACCGACACGGCCAATTCGCGTCTAACCAGCAATGCTCCTCACCATTACCCATCCCGCATCACCATCTATCTCCATATCACTGCATCTTTGAGCTAATCATGAAGAAATGCACGTTTACCAAACCACAATTGTTGTCAGTAATCTTCATACATGTTCAGCTTCAGCACACAATTCAGAGTCAATTTGAAATATTTAATGGGGTTCGAGAATAAGTTATATGTTTAATAATGAGACTGTTACAAAGGTCGATCCGATTACGACCCTTAATAGAGAATGAGGGGAAGTCTCAATAAATTTCGGAGAGGAAATTCAATGTTCTCGCAAATATTGTAGATGTAACGATCGATAAGAGACTCAGCACTCGATTGAAAACCGTGGAAAGCAAATACGAGAGACCACACTACTTTCCACAGTTGCACGGAACTCGTAAGGATTTACAAATGAGAAAAGGACAGAAATACTAAGGTGAGTCATATGAACAACGGAGAGAGTGAATCATGCGTAATAATTGAGACTGGCTTTCTTTTTCGCTTGCACCTCCAGAATGGCATCCATGAAATCTTCATGAACAACTTCCGTGGCATCACGTCGCAAGGCGATCATACCCTGAAGCCGTGAGATGTATTTCCCAAGGTCCAACTAAGTCTAGACAGAAGAGCATACTGCAGTGCACTGGACTTACCGCTTCAACACACACCGCTTTACACTGGGCACCATTGAAGTCATCGGTACAACGGGCCAACTCATCGAAGTTCACATCTTTGCTGAAAAGAAAAACTGCGAAAGATCAGGTGTCGCCACGTCATTTTGAACGCACGTCCGCGTGCGTGACACAGTCTAATTTTTTCACATCGAAAAACTCATAGGGGCCTGACCTTAATCAATCTCTTTGAGGAGTCACCATGCATTCGACTTTCACCCACAATTGAGGGACCATTTGGACTCTTGACTATTGATGGTAGCTCGGTGCTTGGAGGGCAACTGAACGTGGCCTTCCCTTTATGAATACCCGCTCTTCGAAAAATCACGTACCTAGTTCACCCAAGCCATCAGAGCCTCTCTCTGCGCAATAGACTTGAATGACTGCAAAATTAGATCCGGGAATTGATCAAGGAATATTCCGTTCAGGACCCTTTCATATTTTGACTTTAGAACTGCTTTATTTGTCATAAATCATGCAGCGTAATTTTCCAATACATCATATGTGACAGGGCACACGCTCGTCCTTGCACTAACTGACAAAAAGCCGCTGAGAGGCGGAGTTGGCGAATTTGTGGCTGTTCCCAGTTACTTCTAACGAAAAAAACAACATAACCATATTTTATGTGCAATCAACGACGAGAAAAAGTGCTTTCAATGCAAACCACTGGAAGCCCTTTTTTCTCGTTGTCCAATTACGAAGAAGAACCTCATTACGCTTTCATCCACTCCAATTACTAGAAGCATGAAGAAGCTTCGTGTTCCTCCTCGTCGTAGCTGGATGTTGGTGCGTAGGCGACGAAGATTGTCAAAGCAGGAGTTGAACCACATCTTCTCAATCTCAAACGTCCGATTCGGGTCGTAAGGCTTTCGTACGAATCGATGTTTATGGCCAAGTGCGTGTTGACGAGGACACCCACTACAAGGAAGACCATACCTTCTTCAAGGTCATCGTCGGCGACTTCAACGCCAAGATTGGCCCGAGAAGAACGGCTGAAGAACTTCACATCGGTACTCACGGAATGGATTGGAATGAGCAGGGCGAAAGACTGTCTGAGTTTATCATGTCGACCAATACCATCCATGGTAACTCGCAGTTCCAGAAGCCCTCTCACCTTCGCTGGACTTGGGAGTCACCTGATGGACAGTTCCATAACGAGATAGACCACATCATCTTCAATCGAAGGTTTTGCCTGACCGACGTCGCTGTTGTTCCAAAGTTCTACACGGGATCGGACCATCGTCTCCTCCGCGCAAGATTCCACTTCTCGATGCGTGTTGAGAGAGCAGCAAAGTTCAGGAAGCGAAGCCCCAGGACAGTCATCAACTGGGACCACTTCGCTTCCCTCGTCAGCTTATGGGAGGATTCCGTCATCGAAAACATCGACGAGGAGTACTATCGGCTCGTTGAACATCTTCACGATTGTGGCAAGAAGGCAGAGAGTTTGAAAGTCACCAAGGGACGTCTGTCTCCGGAAACTCTCGAACTGATACGCCAGCGTGGAGCCGCACGAGCTGCAGGCAATCACCGACTCACGTGAACGATCGGTCGAAGAAATCCTCGACAGGGGGGTCGTACCTGTTGGGCTGGTCCATGGGGGGTCGTACTCTTGGGGTCAGTAACAGAAGTGGTATCATGGTGCAGATAGGTAATAGGGTATAGCGCAGCAGAAAATGAAAACATCCGAAAAAAACATGATATTAAATTTTCTTTGCAGGTTCAGTCGCTCCATTCCTCCACCTTCATGAGAAGGGCGTATTTGAAGGCAGTACAAAGAATGAAAGTGCATCCCCGCAAAGAAGAGTGCCACATGTGCGCACGCGCTGCAAAGGCACCTCCTCCGCCTATCACTCGCTCCTTCTCCCTTAATACCTCGCTGAGAATGACGCTGTTGTTAGGGACCCTGTCGGAAAAACGACAACCGTGAAGAAAAAGCGCTGGGCAAATGAAGTTGTTTTTTAGGTTACAGGAATAGCACAACACACTATGTCTACTACAATACAGTTTCGTTCGAAGGTCCCCATCATATAACACCTTTCAATCGATTCTGCAACTGTGAGTGGAGGAGGGATGCATGGCTTATACCAATACCAAATCGGATGATGACGATTGCTCCTATTCTTATTGTTTGCGTTCAAAGATATTGTTCTAGACACATTCCGAGTGTTGCCAACGAGTCACACTTGCAATGGTGAATGAGGGAGCGGATTTCCAGGTGGCCGGATCCGACCTCGATAGATCCTCGACGCAATTATCTCTTCAACCAAAAAGCTGTAGAAGAAAACTAAACAGACCATCAGGAAGCGCAAACCTTCCGCTTTCCAAAACTATCTTCCCTTTTTCAGGATCTTACAATATAAGAGATATATTGCTCTTGAAGTGGCAAAAACTCGCGTGAAAATCTCGGCCTCCTCGACATTTACTCGACGAAATTTGACAGACCCTATCTTTCTGCAAGGAAGGCTTCCAGAGCAATTTCGATGCTTGTTGGAAACGCGAAATCCAGCTCTATCTAACTCTACCTCAAGCTGCTTCAAAGGTTGTGAAATGGAGGAATGCAACCTTTTCATCGAGGGTGTAGATTCGGACGTTTTTTTTTGAAATTTCGGCAAATCTGACCCAGTGACAATCGCGCCGCAGCTGCCGTTGAATCGGCCTTTGATACACTCGGCTGTTTTGATATACTCAAGCAAGAATCAAGATTGAATCGCAACCCCGTGTCTTCAGGATTTCTGAACGAACCTCGCCTTGAGGTCACACAAAGTTAATGCCTCTTTCCTCGAGTCGATATTTCAGTATGTACACAAAAGTATGCAGCGATGGAAGACGTGCATAGATGACAAGATGAAGCGTCCTTAGCATTATTTTGCAGAATTTTTTTTGATTTGTTTTGCAGGATTTATTTTAATTGAATTAATTTGCTCTGTTAGAGGGGGTCGTGCCAGGATCTCGATTTCGGGGGGGGGGGGGTCGTACCTCTGCGACCACGTACTCGACACGATTTTCACCCTGTCCCAACTCACGTCCGAGCTTGCGAAGCTATGCAGAGAGGCGATAAAGGAAGATCTCAAGGAGCGAAGAGCAGCAGTATTAGCTGAAGCAGCAGAGGCTGGGAGGAGCATCCGCAATGCCCGCCGAAGCTTTGCCAGCTACAAGACCAAGATGACCTGCCTCCGACGTCCGGATGGAACAGTTACTGCATCCCGAAGGGCAATGGAGAAAGTCATCCACGACTTCTACTCGGATCTCTTCGATAGCCATGTCCATCTGCCTACTTATCAACCGCAAGAGGATGGATACGTTGTCCCTTCAGTTCTCTCTTCCGAAGTCCGACACGCCATCAAGTCGGTGAAGAATTGTACAGCGCCCGGTCTCGACAGGGTTAAACCGGAACATCTGAAGAACGCACCGCCAGTTATCATCAAAACTCTGGCTCGACTCTTCACGCGCTACCTGTCGGAATGCAAGGTACCCACTCCGTGGAAAACCAGCAGGACCGTGTTGCTGTACAAGAAGGGAGACTTGGACGACATTGGCAACTATCGCCCAATCTGCCTGCTGTCTGTAATCTACAAGCTATTCACTCGAGTCATCCTTAACAGGATCGGCAGAATACTAGATGAAGGACAGCCATGCGAGCAAGCAGGGTTTCGAAGAGGGTTCAGCACGATCGACCATATCCACACGGTTACGAGACTCATTGAAGTTTCACGAGAGTACAAGATGCCGCTTTGTCTCACGTTCATCGACTTGAAGAAGGCCTTCGACTCTGTGGAGACAGAAGCGGTCATCGAAGCCTTGGGCAACCAGGGCGTCCCTACTCAGTACATCAAGATTCTTCGTGAGCTCTACAGCAACTTTACGACCAGAATCTCACCATTCTACAAGGAGGTCATCATCGACGTCAAGAGAGGGGTTCGACAGGGCGACACCATCTCGCCCAAACTCTTCAGCGCCGCTCTCGAGAACGTCATGCGTCAACTGGAATGGGAAGACATGGGAGTGAAGGTCGACGGCCGGCAACTACACCACCTTCGTTTGCTGACGACATCGTTCTTATAACGCCGAACATCGAGCAAGCGGAGCGAATGCTGGCTGATTTCGACTGCGCCTGTGGTAAGGTTGGTCTACAGCTGAACCTAACGAAGACGATGTTTATGAGAAACGGATTGGTTCCTGATGCCCCATTCACGCTCAACGGAACGAACATCACCGAATGCTCCAGCTACGTGTACCTAGGTCGGGAAATCAATATGATGAACGATCTAGCTCCAGAGCTGAGCAGGAGGAAACGAGCGGCTTGGGGAGCGTACAAGAACATCGAGGGAGTAGTGAAGAAGACGAAGAACATCCGGCTCCGTGCCCACCTCTTCGATTCCGCTGTCCTTCCTGCCCTAACCTACGCCTCAGAGACTTGGACTCTGCGCAGGCAGGACGAGCATGCGGTCAGCGTTATCCACGCGCTGTCGAGAGGACGATGCTAGGAGTAACCCTATACACGCAAGTGCAGAGGGGAATCCGGAGTTCGAACTACGCCAACGATCGAAGATCAGGGACGCTGCCGTTTTCGCCAAGGAATCGAAGATAAGGTGGGCCGGACACGTCATGCGATTTTGCGATGACCGTTGGACCAGAGCGGTTACCGACTGGATCCCTCGGGACGTCAAACGAACACCTGGACGACCGCCGGCCCGATGGTCAGACTTCTTCACGAAAGCTCTGAACGAAAGGAATGAAGGACTTCGTGTCCCTCGAGCGAGGAGGATCCACTGGACACTCTAGCACGCGACAGGGACGAATGGAGACGTTGCTGGCGCCCGCTCGAGCAAATCGACGATCAACGGGACGACAGGTGATACAGGTGATAAAAGAAACATATTATAGCTTATGCTGTATAACAACTTTAGGGAACCTCCGAAGGTATAAACTCTGGAGAAGATTTGTCACTAGACGCTATAGCAGCAAAGCTTGAGAGCTTTTACTAAAGCAGTTTTGCACGGCCAGATGTGCAAGGATTCCCTTTGTCGTATACAGCTCAGTCCTTCAATTACACTGCACCACCAGAATGCAATGTAAAAGTATTCATTACACTCTGGTGATGAAATCATCCCATAACAAAGAAATCACACATGAGTATTGCGAAAGAACTCAGATGTTCTAAAATAGCAGACCACTATTGAATCTGACAGAATGTTAAGAAAGAAAAGCGACACACCACGTGACATTAATGACGTCAGAACCACACCAGTTGTTTGCACTTAAAACGATTCCGGATGTTCACAGCTGCTCCGCTTTGAGAAAGGCTAGACATGCCCACTCTTACGTGCGCACTTTCAGAAACATTTCACGAAAGCAGGACAATCTTCCCCGGAGAACAGTGACGTAGAATCCCGCAAGACCACAAAAGCGCGCTCAATTCCACACCAACAACAACCCACGTCACCGACGCATGACGCACATTCTACGAAAGAAGCATCGGTTGTAACAGCGGGGTTACCCCTTTGACGCCGTCGAAAATGCGGTGTGGACAAAACGTTTGGTCTCGGATGCTGTACGGACAACCTGTTCGTCTGTTTCATTACAAAGACATCACGCGATGATTATTTACACTAGATTGCTAGTAACATGTGGAGGCCCAGATCCAAAAGAAAAAACGTCCCACAAGTGTCGGCAAAAAACTTATGCTGAATATAAGCGCGTAGTCTTAGCAGTGCAGCCGATCAGATACAGAAAACCCGAATGAGTAAGTAACTTCAAACGGACTCCGAGCAAAGACCGAAGAGGAGCATTTCCCTCACAACTCACCACTCCCATAATAATAGGCTTGTTGTGAAAAACAACAAGGCAGTAGTAAGCAAAACAGTTAGAATCACAACACTGAGATGAAAGCGGATCGAAAGAGAAAGATGGAAACAGCCCAGTATATGAAACATGGAGTTCTCGCACATCATTCGTTAGATAAGGTATGGTCCATACCTGCACAATTGTTTTAGAAAGGCGACTGATAAGAGCAGAAAACAGAAAACAAAAGAGCCCAATGACTTCGTTTGCGATGCGTTTTACGAATTTTACGATCCAATCCAGGAATAGACTGCGACATCCCGGTATATGCCTCCAAACTTTCACTTTCATGAAGCAGCTCTACTTTAATACAATTCGAAATAATAGATTCAAAAATTTTATAGATGGCAGCAGAGGATAGTGCCAGAAGACCTACCGGGAAGAGAAATGAAAGTGTAGGAAAAAGATGATAAGCGAAACATGGAAACAAGGCCATGAATAGTGGTTTAACAATAAAATCTTAGAGTTCGACTTAGTCTCATACTACCCGAAAATATCTAAAAAGCGTCAGAGACTCAAAATGTAAAACCCACTTCACATTCATCTTCCTTGAATGAATTTGCATAATACGTGCTCGAGCGTCCTCATTCGGATGTGGCAACTCAATTTTTCTATCAAGACGGCCTGATCGCAGCAGGGCGGGATCAAGGACATCAATTCTGTTCGTGGCAGCAATAACCTATAAAACGTGTTGAATGACAAACGCGCAGCCCACACACAAGTGACCCCCTTGCGAAAATACGACGAATACTGAAAAAAGAACCTTGATTTCATCATTGGGCTGGAATCCATCAAGCTGATTTAGCAACTCCAACATGGTGCGCTGCACTTCTCGATCTCCAGCTTTCTCGGAATCAAAACGTTTTGTGCCTAAAAAAAGTGGCCTGATAATCTAAACGCAGACAATTGTAGGAGGGTAGCCGCAATTCTACAATTTAAACCTAAAGCACACAGAAATAAACTGACCAATTGCGTCCAATTCGTCGATGAAAATAATTGCCGGGGCTTTCTCTTTGGCTAGTGCAAACGCGTCACGTACTAGCTTCGCTCCATCTCCAATGAACATCTGCACCAGCTGCGGCCCCGCAAGTTTTAGGAACGTTGACTTCGTTTGAGCTGCGACAGCGCGGGCCATCATGGTTTTACCAGTACCTAGACAGAACAGAGAACATTTAGATAGCGAATTTGAAAAATAAAAAACTAATTCTGAACACTGAAGCGACCTATATTTCGAAACTTCGAACGTACCTGGAGGGCCATACAAAAGCACTCCTTTTGGTGGATGGATTCCAAGGTTG